AAGGACCACATCGCTGCCTTTTTATTTCCTCAGACCCTATCATGATAGTGCCTCACACATAGTAGGTACTCAGTAAATATCTGATGCCTGCATAAACAAGTAAATTAACACATTTACATAAGGTAATTCTACCAAATTTCAAGAAAAAGTATTGAAGAATATTCCTTTGGTCATTCATAACATCTAGAGGATAGAAGGCACGAAACCAGCAAATTCGTAAAACGTTGCCTCATTTGTCTATGCTGTTGTGGAAGTAGAAATGAGCCAGATAAGAAGGGAGAGAGAACAGACTGTGGAAACACCTAAGAACAGGAAACAACATGATGTGTTTGTGGAAATCCCGGCAGAACTGGAGTCCTGGAAGCAAGGATGAGGTGGGCTGCTGGGGAACCCATCACAAAGGCAGGTGGGCCCAGGAGAACCAAGCAGTGCTGACTGCATTGAAGGATTCTCAACAGCACCATCTCCACCCAGCTTCTGTTTAGACTGGTCAGTCTGGCAGTGGTGTGCTTGATTACCAGGAAGCAGGGTCAGCTCAGCAGTTAGGGAACCTGTGGGATGCTGCAACAGCAAGCTATGCAGACGCAACAAGGACTCAAATAGGGATGAAGAGAGTAGAGATACACGGGCGAGAGCAGACTGCAGGAGTGCCATGGATGCAGTATTCATAGCGCCTCATGCAGGTGTGGGTAGGGGCAGAAATGCACCATGGATGTCTTGCCAGATGAGGGCAGGAAAATCATCACTTCTCTAGTTGGGCCAAATGGGAAGAAGAACATATTTAGGGGCAATGATGATTGTTTTAGTTGTGAATGTGTTGCAGCTGAGGTGACCAGGTGGAGCTGTCTAAAAAGGAGTTAGAGATACAGTTCTAGAGCTCATCGGAAAATTCCAGTGAGGGAAAAAAAGGATTCTGAAGCCACTAAGTGAAAAATAGTTGGTGTCAAAAATTTCAATGGCCAAGAAGGCTGCAGAGCAGAGGGCCAAGAATGGAGTCATGAGGAGTCCTGGCAGGCCCATAAAGGAGGGATGGGCATCTATGAATGCAAGTTGGTGGAGCAGCTCTGCAACTCTCAGCATAGGGTTCACGACTTTGGGTCCAAGGCTGTTGCTGAAGTTAAAACCTTTATCAGATGGACAGAAGAGGAACATAGGAAGTCTAATGCTACCAGGTTTATCTTTAAGGACATGACTCCAAAATTATGCACATCGCAAATGCTCAAATCCCATTGACCCAAACTTGGTGGCATTGATGCATCTACGTACAAGGGAGGGTGGGACATGCAGTCTGGCACTGAGTTACTATGTGCCTGGATGTAACTTGGAGGATCCTAATACAAAAATGAAGAAAGGGAGATGGGTACACCAAGGGATGCAATTAGATTCTCAGATTGTCTTCTTTGAAGCACATTGTTGATATCTGTGTCACTGAAGCAAGAAGAATTTTGATGAGGAAAAATGAATAAGAGAGAAAGAGGTAATTCTAAAACCTGACGCTTCCAGGAAAGGGAAATGTCGGTGGAATGCTGGTGCAGAGGGAGCTTTGTGAGGATGCAGCATGGAGTAGTAGGATGAACACAGGCTGGACCAAACTGAATCACCCTCCCAGCTCTGCCACTTCCCTGGACAAACTTCTTGCCTGCCTATGCCCCAATCTGATGTCAGAGGGTCACTGAGAAGCTAATGAAATTAGCACCTATGATGCCAAGCACAGCACTCCACCTGGTAAGGACTCAAACTGTTACTCCTTTCCTTCTTTCTCTTCCCATTTTTAGAAGGCAGAAGATAGGACATGCCAAGGAATAAAAAAGAAGTTTTTAATAAGGAACGTGGCTGGACACCAAAAAACTTTGCCTAGTTCACAATTTTGCCTTGAACCCTGATTTCTAAGCGTAAATGTAAATCATGTTACAATGCCAATCTGACTCCTGTGCCTGCCATACATCCTAGAGGTAGTGGGAAGGCAGGGGTTACTCCAGAGCAGTAACAGTAAACAAACAGGTTTCAGGTTCCAGAAGCTGCTAGTGAATGAACTAAAGGTAATGGCTGGCTGCAAAGGCTTGCAAGGAAACAGTTTCCTTTGTCTGATTAAAACAACAACAAAAAAACATGTTTGTAAAGGTCAGGCAATGCTACATTTGTAAACAACCTGAATCTGTAATCCTAAAGATGAGGAAAAAGAATAAAAAGGCCCCATCTGAAAACTGGTTAACTGTTCCACCCACTTATGGGGAAAAAAGTAGCAGCACAAGAATACAAGATTATATTTCTTTTCTCAGGTTTTAATCCTTCATTATAAACATTTCACTCCCAGGTCTTACAAAACTCTAGGGATTAGTTAGTTCTCCAGGCTTCTCACTTAATCATAAGGCAGCAGAAGTTACCTGGCACGTCTAAAAGAGCAGATCATTAACTGGAGAGGTTACCAGCAGTGAAAAACCTCTCCTCTCCACCCTCTTCTCAACCCTACCAACCTTTGACCAGAGCAAAAGATTCAGGGAAGAAATGGTGGGACCTCCATGTTCCCTTGAGCTAGGCCAGTAACAATGAGTCCAAGTGAACAATACAGCTTAGCAACCACACATTCTAGGACCACAGGTAAAATGTGATGGTGAGGAGAAGAGAAACTGTTGGTTTTCTAAGGCTAACTATTAAGTGTGAACCAATTAATGTTTTAATCACTAGTACATTTTTTGTTGGTTTGTTCAAATAAAAGTATCTAGGGAAAAAATACCTAATTCCAATTCTGGTCTAGAACTCAATGCTGATTTCCCCACTGAGAGACGAGAAAAGGAAAAGTAAAAACATGATCTTGCCTCCGTGGAAAGCTTTAATAAGGGATTTCTAGTCTGAAGTTGGAGGCACCATTTATTTTCCTCTATTAGAAATTCCAGTTGAGGAGAAAGAAAAGACTTCAGAAAAAAAAAAAGAAAAGAAAGAAGAAAGAGAGAGAGAATTGGGTAAATACAGACCTAATGTTTTGAAAACGAATGCACAAAAATAATCTGAAATAAGTGAGACTTCAGTGCCTATGTATCAACAGTAAAGTTAACAACAAAAGGAAAGTCGGTGAGAGTTTTCTCCAAATAGACATTATGTTCCAGAAAAGATGTGGATTTGATTTGCATGCTTGGCATCCTCTTGCCTCTGAAATGAAGTATTTTGGATGCTTTTGCAAGGCATCTCTCCAAAGTTACCTGGCTGGTTCCATTTCTATTGTTCCATATTAATGCACCACTGCTCACTTCCCACTGTTTACTAAACAATTTATGATAGCTTGGATTTATTGCTGTTTTCACAACCAAATCATTTTGTGGCACACATCTCTCTGTGACAGACTCCCCCAGGGGAAGCAGGTGAGGTGCAAATCTTCCACTTCCATGCTCTTACATAATGCGGTACCAGTAAATAAAAACAAAGCAAATGAACTACCACTTCCACTCAGATCAGCCACTCTCAAAGTGAGCCTAGGTAGATCAAAGAATAAAAAAGAATGACGAAGGGCATAAAAGATGAAGAATATACCATTTAGTACCAACTTTTCAAATTAGCAGAAGCCAATGGACTCAGGTCAGGAAAACAATTAAACTCATTTGGTTCAGACACTGAGTCCAGTACAAGGAAGGAAGTTAATAAAAGCCATTCTGACTGGGGTAAGGTGATATCTCATTGCAGTTTTGATTTGCATTTCCCTGATGATTAGCCACATTGAGCATTTTTTATAAGTTTATTGGCCACTTGTCTATTTTCTTTTGACAAGCTTCTGTTCATGTCTTTTGCCTACTTTTTAATGGGGTTGTTTGATTTTTTTTTTCCTGCTGATTTGCTCAAGTTCTTTGTAGATTCTCGGTATTAGTCCTTTATCATTTGTATAGCTTGTGAATATTTTCTCCCATTCTGTAGGTTGTCTGTTTGCTCTGCAGACACACTTATAATCATAACTCAAGTAATATAAAAGAGATCCATGTAACTAAAAAGATTTGTACCCCCATAATACTTTGAAATAAAAAAAAAGAAAGAGTTAAACTTAACAAGCACAGGATTCCCTGAACCGGTTAGTTGTCTTAGTCTGTTTGTGCTGCTATAATAAAATACCTTAAACTGGGGTAGAAAGCGGGAGAAGAAAGGAAGTTACACTGATAGCTGTGTGGTGAGATGACGGGGCTTCCAAGTCAGACACATCCACGTCTAATCTCAGTTCCACTAGTTAAGTGACTTCAGAGGTCAGGCTACTTGACCTCTGTGAAGCTCTGTTTCTGGACATGTAAAAAATACCTGTATCAAGCTCATGGGCTTGTACACACAAACACATACAGCGTGCTTAGTATACTGTTAGCACATGGTATAAGCCCCCAAATGGTAGCTATTATTACTGTAGGATGAAGAAGGAGGAAGAGGAAGAAGACTGACTGTAAGTTTCATGAGATCAGTGATTTTGGGCTAGTTTTGGTCACTGACAAATCCTAGCACTCAAATATTTGAAGATTTATCAAAAAAAAAGTACAATACTTTTCAGAATAAGGACATTTGCTATCATTAAGTCCACCATTCTCTAACACCTGGAAATGGCACTCACAGTTTCGGTGAAAGGCCATATTATCCATTTCAAAATGGCTGTTGCTAAAACCCATACTCTGTTGTGTTTTTCATTTTGTGCAGATAACAACCACTATAATCATCTTAAAACTTGAATCAATACATCTACCCCAACATCTTTTCACTGCCTTTGGAGACATTAAAGCTTTTACTCTTAATATGTATGCAGGGCAAATATTTGAAGAACACCCTGATGTTTGGCTTCACTCAAAGTTAAACAACCATTTAGCTGAATAATAATAAATAACTGCCTTTATTTGTCATCTTTCTTACTAAAATATAAATGCTATCACCTTGAATGAGACAGAGAAAACAATAAAAACCACGGTTAGGTGACCTGGTGTATTGGGTTTCTACGTATTGTAAATTTCAAAAAGCAGCACTCAGGGAACAGAGTATCTTACCTTCGCTGAATGCTCCATGGTGACCACCACTTTGGTTTTGGCACTGGACACTAAATCCATAGCACCACCCATTCCTTTCACCATCTTCCCCTGAAAAATAGAAACAGAAAATAAGTATCTCTATATCTTTCACCTCTTTAGTATGTGGCAGAACAAAATTACTTGCAAAAACAAGCCACTGGAATCATTAACAAGAAAAACTCATTGTCTTTCATTGCTCAGTACTTGAAACTTTACGACCTAATATTTTGCTACTCTTATTACTCTACGGTTGAAGGATAAAGTTCAGAATAAATGTTATGTCACGTTTGTTAAGCGTTGCTAACATGATTCTGTTGATGACACATTAGCAATAAGACAACGAACGTATAAGAAACATTTTAAGAATCTTTCTAGAATTCTAGGACATTATTATTATTACAAAATATCAGATTAAAATCCAAACACCCCTGACATCCACTTCTTTCTTTTTAAACACATAAATTACAGGCACTTTCTAAGGCGCTCTTTTGGATTTCCTACAACTTAAAATGCCACGAGGCAGTACGCTGAGGTACTAACGGCATTTCTCTAATAATGATTAATACGAAAGGTGGGTCTGTCTTTCTAACACTTGGCATTCATCTTACCATTAGAAAAATAAAATAAAAACATATTCCTGTGAAGCAAAAAAAGAACCCAGAAGCAGAGTTCACCATCCTTTCACCATTTCCACTCTATTTTTGTTCATTTGTCCATCTCTTATGCATTACACATTTACCAACCACCTTTTATGTGCCCCACACTCTGAAAAATTCCCTGTCTATTCTGTCTCCTGGTTACAGAGTTCTGGAAAAAGCAAGTGTTTCCAGAGATGACAAAATAAATTCTTACTAAAGAAGACTGAAGAGAAATGTCTTCTAACATCAAAACTTCCTTAAAATTTTATTTTTTGAACCCAAATCCTCTTGCTGATTTGCCAGTGAACTCTAAGAAGGCTCTCAGCTCCTTTCTCATAATTTTAGAGCTAGAAGATTAGGAAATGCACTCAACACTTGGCTTTAAAATGTGGTCTTGAATCCCATGATATCGGAGACATCTTGGAGGTCAATCTGACACGGCATGAACTGAATTAGATGAGCAGTATAAAGGGAAGGAGCAAGTCATCACGATGTCTTTGTGGTCTGGAGGCTGCCACTGAATGAGACGGATGGCAGCCGGCAATAGTGGAGTGTGGGGAGAAGTGCAAGGTACTGAATGAGTCTGGTTTCAGACATGTAAGTTTGAAGTGAAGCAGAATATCCATGTGGAAATGCAAAATTTTAAACTTCTATAAGTGATGCCTTCATTCTTAGTCAGCTGCAACTTTAATAAATAAGGCATCAATTTATTAAATTGGTCATAATATTTCTACAGAGAACACTGATACCTTTATGGCACGAAACATGGAAAAGTCAGAGAGGGAAGCAATGAATGTCTATCATAAACTCTAATGCTAAAGTTTGAGATTTTTAGAGCAACAAAAGACACGAATGCAACTCCATGATAAAATGTCTCCACCTGCCATGGTGAAAACATCCAGACAGCCTCAGCCTTCTAAAGACAGTGTCCTTGGGCAGAGACTGTCAGGGGTGAGTGCTGGAAGAATGAGGAAGCAACAGCCAAAGAAAACTAGAAACAAAGCAAGCATGTTAAAAATTCCACAAATTAGAATATACCACAGGCAAAGTTTGTTCCCTGTGACACAATGATTACATTGATAAAAGCTTATGACAGCTTCTAACAGGAAGCATGTCCAATTTAGGTGAATCTGATTTACACATTTTAAATCACTGTGAATTAGTTAAGAAATATTTACAGAGCACCTACTGTGTACAAAATGCTGTGATGGCAGGAAGATAAGGCACTATAAAACATGGTGGATGAGCCATCTCTTTGTTTCTGTTAAAAACAACATTCTTGCTTGACTCAATATAAATCAATAGCCTTCACCACTCAAAGAGATTCAAGTGCTTTGATGTTTCATCACCAAAGCACATGCTACAAATTTCAAAGCACTATGTTGATACTTAAATTTAATGTGTGTTTCCAAGAATGGGAAATGCACAAGACTATGTACAGAACACCTGAGATCTCTCCTGTTAATTATGAGACATAAGCAAAACACCAAATATCTCTGAAGTTGGGCTCATTATCCATACACCAGGAATAACAATATCTGTCCTATCATAGAGCTGTGCTAAGCACTGTATGAGATAATGTATGAAAGTGTGTGTAGTAAATAAAATTTATAAATGTATTCACTTACATCTTCATTCAGTCAATTCAACTTACTAAATGTTTAGCATAAGCCTGGTACCACACTGGGTGCTGGAAAACAGAGTTCTTTTCCTTGAAAAGCTCATTGTCTGGGGAAGGGAAAGTATCCAGGAATAATCAAAGAAACTCTGACCAAACTTCTGTCCTCTAAAAGAAGTATTCCCCACTTCTCCCTCATTCCAAGGTAGAGCTAAGTGCCTTTCCCTATGTCCTCAGTATGTCATTCTATCACAGTGCATTTTCCCTTCCCTTCCCTTCTCCCCTCCCATCGCTCCTCTTTCCCCTTCCCTTCCCCTTTCCTTCCTTTATTGATCTCCTTTCTCTCATTGTTTCTTTCCATTATAAGGATTTGGATGAATGAACAGATGAATGAATTAACCTAACATAGGTATGTTCAAGTTCTGGCAGAATACTGAGAATGCAACTGCTAACTGCGCCTGGGGACACAGGAAGGGAAGGAAGCAGCTCCGAGGATTTCAAAAAGGAGGAATTTCACAAAAGTAGTTTGCCAGGTGGGAAGAACAATACTGCAAAAGAGAAGAGCAGTATCTTCTAATAGGAAGTATTTCTAACAGGTTAAGAAGAGAACCTTCAAGTATTTGGTTTTCCTACCCTTTTAGTATGATCACTGTATCAGAAAAATAAAATAAAATGTTTCCCTCCATTTCAATTCCCAAAGGACTTCTGAAACAGAAGAAATTACTAAAGGAAGACAAGTCATTCTTATCTACACTGGCAGAAAAAAAAAAAAAAATCAGAGTTATACAAGGCACCCTCTGTGACGCCAAGTGAGAAATTCATCATCATCCTTCAATCCAGCTGAGCCAGGCATTCTTTTGGGACCTCACTGCTTGCATTTCTTAGCTCTGTGTTGCACTTAGGGGTGGTCATGTGTCTGAGTCCCAGACAATGAAAGAAAGGGAGGTGACATCTGTGATTTCCAGGCTCTGGCCCATAAAAATCTCTTCCATGCAATCCTTCACACTCTTTCTCCTGCAATCTCAACATTGACATCAAGGTGACCGCAGAAGATGGCTGAGCTTCCCTCAGCCTGAGTCCTTAAATGACCACGTGTAGCAGAGCCCACTTATGTGGAACCACATTGTACTGTTCACTGAGTGCAACATGAATGTATAGAGTGGTAAGCCACTGAAATCGGAAGGCTTATTTGTTATAGGAGCTAGTGTGACTCAAGATGATGTGGTGCCAAATGAGTCACATGGAAGAGTGAGAATTCAGTGTGGAATCAGAGCTGTTACAGCTGCACAACAGAGGGGACCTGAGCCAGCCTCCTCGAGACGTTTTACTACTCTCCTTGAGGGAGGTGACTATGCCAAACACTGTGCCAGGCACAGTAATTCACCTCTTTATCCACATGTCCAATACATCGCTTGACATTTAACAGAGGAACAATATACACGCTGAGTGAATGAATAAAATTAGAGGGTTTATGAATGGAAGGGATTATGGGACGATGGGAAACAGCACTGCAAGTTAAGGGAACAGCTGAAAAGGGATACAGACCCCACTTCATCCCAATCTTCCTCCCCAAAATTCAACATCCTATTCAACATACAAAACAAGAACCTGATAAAACAGGAAGATTAAGAAGCTAAAAATATAGCTTTAAATAAATCACGAGAGGGAAAGTGATACTTGGGGGAAAATAGGCCTATAATGAAGAAGAGCTCTGGGCATGATTGAAGCACTGGGCCAGAGTGACACAAAGTGTGGCTTTCTTTAAAATCTTATCAGCAAACATACATTTCTTGAATGGTGCAATGTTAGTTCCGAAACGCATTCTGGCAAGCATAATGAAGAGATGATTGCTGGATCCTCATTTCTCAGCCAGTTCATCTTTTTGCAGTTAAAGATTGACCCTGATACCAAGTATGGAAAGAATTCTGCAATAAAATGAGCTAACAGTGCTGCATGTTCCATTATGACACAGCTAAACGATTGGTCTAAAAAGATACTGATTCAAGTATTATCTTCAATTTACAAATATTTATTCAGAGTCTATTATAAATCAGGTACCAAGATGGGAATTAGAAATAAAAGATGAATATATTATCTACCTTTTCCCCTAGAAAATAGATTTAAATTTAAATCAATATCATCAATATATTTCACCTACTTTGATCCTATTTCTTTTTTTTTTTTTTTTTTTGAGACAGAGTCTCACTCTGTTGCCCAGGCTAGAGTGCCATGGCTTCAGCCTAGCTCACAGCAACCTCAAACTCCTGAGCTCAAGCGAGCCTAGTGCCTCAGCCTCCCGAGTAGCTGGAACTACAGGCATGCGCCACTATGCCTGGCTAATTTTTTCTATATATATATTTTTAGTTGTCCAGATAATTTCTTTCTATTTTTAGTAGAGACAGGGTCTCACTCTTACTCAGGCTGGTCTCGAACTCCTGACCTTGAGTGATCCACCCACCTCGGCCTCCCAGAGTGCTAGATTACAGGCGTGAGCCACCATGCCTGGCCTGATCCTATTTCCTAATATCAGAATTTTAAAGAAAGTAAAAGGAAAACTACATTATGAAGGCAATAACATTAAAAATATTAAGGCATCAAAGTACAAATATTAAATTGCACTCCCAAAGAAATAGTAATTCAAGTTCTAAACATGACCTTGGGTGATATTTTAAGGATTTTACAAAAAGGTGAAATGAATGCATTTGAACAGTTCTGTGCAAAACTATTTAAAATAAAATACAGAACACACTGAAAATTTTTCTTCCCACCACCTTTACCATTAGGACATAAATAGTAATGGCTCATTTCCAGAT